AAAAAAAAACCCAAAACCAAAACGACAAACCCCAAAAAAAAAAAGCAAAATCTCCCAAAAATAAAAGGAACAACACCAACTTGGCAATCGGCCGTCGCCATCGCTATCTCTTCTCCTCCTCCGTCCTCATGGACCTCCGTACGGAAAAATCTCATGATTTGGACTTGAAGTGAAGAAGAAATTGGGGGAATTACCCCGTCATGGAACCGAATATCCCAACGACGGTCTTCAAGGACTTGTCGAATAGGCAGCGGGGCGACCCGAGCCCAAATTTAAAGTTGATGAAGAGCTTGTGGTGATCACCGACGGTGATGTCAGCGTAGGAGAAGCGGATGCCGATGTTGGTTAGGGGAATGGCCTTGAGAATTGGGGTTTCGGGTCTTCCCGGAGCATGTGCGAAGATTTGTGGGTTTTTTTCCCGAGCTAATAGCGGCGATTTTCATGGAAGTGCTTAATTAAGATTAAGATGAGATAAGATAGAACCAAAAAAATTGAGAAAATTACCTCCCGTACGATAGAGTTAAAGTTTTTTTCCCCAAAGACGAGATAGTTTTCCTTATTCCGATCATATATTCTTAATTCCATATTTATTACCTAATTAATGATCCATCTTTCATAAGCTAAGTTTATTTATAACGCACATCAATTTCATCTGTGGCAATTTTCCTTCATCAACATCAACCTGCCTCAACTTTCTCTCATCATCGCACCCACGAAAATCTTCACTATTCATGGCAGCTTTCTTTCAAAATCAATCCCAATTACTTCATCGACCCCCTCTTCTGCGGTGAAATATCTTCCTTTTCGCCCTCATCGTTAATCATACTATTAAGCCGATGTTTCAGATCTATCAGAGGCCAGGCACAGAGATGGAATTTTTGATTACTCGAGCGGTGCGGTCGTCCTTATCGTGTCTGCCGGTGAGGAAAATCTAAAGTGTGATTTTTAATTAGATTTACTCAGCCATTGAGGTTGTGGCATTGAAGGTGAAGCCATCAATGGGCCTATAGAGTTCAGGGCAAGAGGGATTACTAGACGAACAGAGGTGGGTTAAACCATGAGTTAAATTGATGTTTATTGTTAGTTTATTTTACATCTTTCTCGGTTTCATTATAGTTATGAAGTTAGTCGGTGATTGGCTCAATTGTTTGAAAATATTAGAGAAATGAAGTTTACCAAATCTAATGTCAAGCAAGGCTCCCGCAAGGTTGCTACATCTTCACACACTTGACGGATCAATGGCTCAAAGAATGGCTCTGAACAAGGGGCAAATGGAGAGCTCAATAATTTCTAGTTTATTCATGTTTTATGAATAATTTGTTTTTTGATGAACTTTATCTGCCAATGTCATGACTGATTCTAAGATCGACATTTTTTAATTTAGTTGTAGTTATTTAGTAGTTTGTTTTTTATTTTGATAATAAATTTTCTAATGAAAGAATTTCATTGTTGGATAGAAAAATCAAAGGAAAACGACATGTTTGGAATTGAGTTTGATGAAGAAGTTGAGGATGGAGACGACCATCTCTTGCATCTTACCAATATTTTTTAGTAAAATATCTTTTTTCTTGTATGAAGTTTTCAATTTGGTTTATATTGAGTTGTATAATGGTTTACTATTGGTTTATTGATGATTTTATGAATTTTTCAATTTGGTTTATATTGAGTTAAATTTGGTTTATATTGAGTTGTATAATGGTTTACTTTTGGTTTATCGAGTTGTATAATGGTTTACTATTGGTTTATTGATGATTTTATAAATTTTTCAATTTGGTTTATATTGAGTTAAATTTGGTTTATATTGAGTTGTATAATGGTTTACTTTTGGTTTATTGATAGTTTTATGAACTTTTCAATTTGGTTTATATTGAGTTGTATAATGGTTTACTATTGGTTTATTGTTGATGATTTTATGAATTCTTAAATTTGGTTTATATTGAGTTAAATTTGGCTTATACTGAGTTGTATAATGGTTTACTTTTGGTTTATTGATAATTTTATGAACTTTTCAATTTAGTTTATATTGAGTTGTATAATAGTTTACTATTCGTTTATTGATGATTTTATGAATTTTTCAATTTGGTTTATATTGAGTTAAATTTGGTTTATATTGAGTTGTATAATGGTTTACTTTTGGTATATTGATAATTTTATGAACTTTTCAATTTGGTTTATATTGAGTTGTATAATGTTTTACTATTAGTTTATTGTTGATGATTTTATGATATAGAACATTCCCTCGAGTTTTATTGTCTTACATTTTTTCCATATTAGTTTTTCCTGGCAATTGTCTTTAGTATTTCTTTCTTTTTTTTTTTGGGTACATGCCCTTAGTATTTCGAATGAATAGTTTTTGTTTTATGAGATTATTTTATAAAAATCAGTTAATTTTTGTCGTAAATGTATTTTATAAAAATTACGTAAATTGGCCTACTCATTTATAAATTGTCATCATGGTGTACTTACACCAATTACTCTTAAATTATCAATATTGACACGGTATTCCACATTTATAGAGGGCATACATACTGTTATACACACAAACAAACTTGAGTTTTAACTCTTAAAATATTACCATACTTTTTTTTTGGTTCTACTTAAACCAAAAATATATTTATGAACATGAGCTTAACAATTTCAGTTCAAATAGTAAAATATTGTTTCTATAATTTGCTTTGTTTAATACAAACAAAATGTTTTTTTTTTTTCGAATAGAAAGTGATGTATTTGTTTATTTATGTAAAATTTGGGAAGATAAATGGTCTTTTTAATCTAAACGGCCTGTTTTAGTTTTTAGGAAAATTTAAAATATCTTAATCAATATATAAGTCCGCAATTTATGGGATCAGGTGAGTGAAAAAGAGGTTGCATTATGATTTGATCTTCTTTCTATATCTCAAACAGGTGTATTTAATTTGATTTATGTGCCCGTATTCAGAACTAAGTTTAAATAGCAAGTCAGAATAAAAAATAAGTTCAAATAATTCGTAAATATGTATCTTAAGTTTCAAATTTGGAATTCCAAATTTTGGTTCGTCTATATGGGAAACACAAAATTTAATTACGCTTATATGTACTTAAGCCAAAAAAATTCTGATCTTTTTGTTAATGTTTGGATTTAAATTTTTTTCAAAAAATTTCAAAATACATTTTGGCGGATTATTTCAATTGTTTTCAAAAAAAAAAAAAAAAGTACTCATTATAATAATCTAAAAATTTAGGAGGGAATTCCATAGATTTTTTAGTTACTATTTTAGAATTTTTGGGTTGCCTCTTTATATATTAATAGATTTTAATTTACTTTTTTAATTTTTTTGTAGCCAGCCATGGTATCCTATCCGGAGGCTTATTAACTAGTTAGCTCAGCTGAAGATTAAATTAAGGGTATCATGTTCAAGAATCCACATGATTCCTCTTACCAAAATCACAATGTGAGCCAACATAAGAAAAATTAAAACCTTGGCAAATTACAGAATCCTCATAATATAAATGAAAATAAACACACACACATCCACCACACACACGCACACACAAGAATGCTTGATATCGGCAAGTCAGGAAGACCCCAAACGCCATTTCTCGTAAGCCACTTTCAAATCCTTGGCGTATTTGGAGACAAACTGATTCACAAACTCGTCCTCCGTCATCAACAACACCGTAACAAAACTCGGATGCCTCTTCAGAACTCCCCTCGACTTCACCAACTCCATCACTCTCAACCTCGGCACCATCCTCCTCTCCAAACTGAACATCAAAAGAAAAGGAGACCCCACCAGCAGCGACCTGTTAAACCCGAGAGTATTGATGAAGAAGTTCACCGAACGCCTCAGCTTGTCTTCAGACGCCTTGAAAACCATGGGCGCCTTCACAAACATCAAACTACACTCCTCCTTTCTAAATCCAAGCTCTTCAAACAGCCCAAACTTTCTGCTAATAGTCTCTGGGCTATTGCTGTAGAGTGCCTGAACACCGTGGACCAGCATTCTTGAGCCCATTTGGAAGCCCATCTCGACAGCCTGCAAGACGAGTCCTTTAAGCTCAGGCTCCCGCATGGAGAACAAACTAAGCTCAGTTTTCAGAAGCATGATAAGTTGAGAGCCAACTATCCCACAGCTCTTCAAGTAGGCTATGTTGGACTCCAGTCTCGCCTCATTCCCAATGTCCCAGCTGTACCTTGAGAGTATCTGGAAAAGGAGAAGGTTAATTTCGTCATCTGTACTTTTCCCCGGTAGCACTCAAGGACTCTCTTGATGACCCCGATGCTCGGTTTTAGCTTTTTGTCGAGGCTGCTGGTTAGGAGTTTCGGGTTCTTGGAGATTAGGATGGGCAGGTGGGGTCCACGCAGGCCCAGTTTTTGACAGAAGTCGACTTTGGGCTTGAGGATCTTGTCAACATCTGCGTATAAGACAAGTGGTTCGCGTCTGACTGCTGACTGCATATGGGCGGTGGAGAGGCCAAGGGATTTGAAGTAGCGGATAACCAATTCGGGCTTTTGTATGGATTCACGCGGGAACCGGCTGGAAATAGTAACCGCTTTGTGGTGGGGGAATTCAAGGGATTTCATGAGGAAGTCGGTTAGAAGGGGATTTTTGGAGCTTAGGTCTGGGGAGGTTGAGGTGCTGTGAGCTCTTTTTTGGTAGGTTACGAGGAAATTGGTGACGGAATAAAGAAGCGAATCCACGTGAGGGTCCTGCAGCATGGAAGTTCGTACGAGGAGGGAGTGGACTTGGTGAGGTGACTTAGATTTTACCATCATCATCATCATCATCATCATCATCATCATCACTTCTTGAAAAGTGTGAGTAGAAGGGGGAAGAGGTGTGATTGATTAGAACTTGTAAAGAGAATCACGGGTTACTTCGTTAACCTGCACCACTGAGAAAACAACAACAATACAGATAAATTCGGCTCTCACAGCTTTGATTAATACCAATACATTGTGCGCACTACCAACAAGGGACCCTTGGAATAGCCAAATAAACGCTATAAGCTTAAACTGCACTTCTTAAAAGAGGATGTGAATTTGAAGATTCTTGCTATTGCAGAACATCCTCACACAGGGTGTTAATAGCTGACAAGCATAAAAGACGCAAATTCTCATCTTTCATATTAAAAGAGGAGAACAAAGAACAGAAAACATCGACGCGCAGATTAAGAAGCGGGCAGTAGATTACCTTGAATGTAGGAGAACATTACCAAGGATTGTGGAGCTACGAGATGGAGTATTTACCTTGAATGTAGGAGAATTAACTATGAAAAGGGAGTTTGAAACTCGACGATGCCTTTTTATAGTTACAGCACGAGGACAAGTCCATTTAGGGGTTGTTTCGTTTTGGGGAAATAATGGGGGGAGGTAGACATGGTCACTTGCCGGTTCCGGTCCTGGCCCGGTCCCAATCGGCCTGAACCGGGCTCTTAAGGGCCGGTTCGAAGACCTTAAGAGTTGTGGTTCGGTCCCGATTCATAATTTTTTTTTTGTCCAGTCGGTTCAGGTCGGGCCTGGTCGGGCCGCGTGTTGGACGACGGGTCAGTGTAATTTTTTTTAAGGACCATACGGGCCTGGAATCACCCGAAACCCGCCAGGTTGGTGAACCGGCGGTGCAGGGCCGGTCACGGGCCATGTGATTGAGGTCCGCCGACCCGGCGGGCCGGGTGATGCGGAAGTGGTCATCGACCCTAGTGAGCCCGAGGATGAGTCTTGGAAGGATCTCGAGAGTTGGCTTGAAAACGGGTTAGAAGAGCCGCAAATTGAAGAGCATTGGCCAACCCTTAGGCGAGACTGGCCAACAGGATGTGGTAAGAGAGCACGCTCACGCAATAAGAGGCGCAAGGCTAGACGAGCTAAGAAGAGACGCACGGTTAGTACACACGAGGAGGCAGAGTGGGCTGATGCCGAGTGCGTAGTACCGGGCAAAGTGGGTGAGTGGTGGAAGGCATGCGCGAGGAAAAGGCGCGCATGGCGCATGGAGGCTAAGAGAATGGGCGCGCGAGGGGTGGAAGATAGGTGTAAGATGCGCGCGGGTGATTGCTGCGGACTAGCGGATGGGTGCGGCGAGTGGACGGGTGCGTAAGGGGTCGAAAGCGAATGGCTGGTGAGCGAGCAGCGCGCATCGGGCCATGATGTGTGCGAGGAGGTGATGATGAGGGATCTTGTTTCTTGCCTACGGTTGTGAATAATCGCGCACTAAGGGTCTTCGACTAAACACGATAGGTTGTGACTAAAGACGCTCTCAGGGCCTTCTTTTAGATAGAACCTTTCTTTTAGACACGGTTGTATGATAAACACGCACTGACGACCTTGCTTAAACACATGAATGAACAAAACGTTCATTTTTCTATTAACCACTCGACTTCCTTAAAAACAATGGGGGAAGACCCCTATTTATAGATCCTAACAAATCTAGTCCTACTCTAGCTAGATCTCTAATTAAAGCAATGAAATATTAAATCCAAAACATATTAGACCTTCTAAAGCAACAAGGAAAGTAAATATCTCCTAACATCTTCTACTAATAAACTCCTAATAATACTAGATCTCTTAGATACTTGACTCGCACTCCAATCCAATTACTTGATGTCCAAGTCGTCCGCCAAAAACCCCTAGCCGCCTCCTTCATACGCGCCGCCCGCCAGCCCTACTCCTCGGTGGACTCGACTTCGCCCCGCACGCGCGCGCCCTTGTGCAAGCCGCATATTCGCGCGCCACTGCTCGCGCGTCTCGTCCCTGCGCGTGAGTGGCCCGCACGCCAGCCCGCTCGCCGACCTGCTCGCGGCTCTCGTGCGTCCCACGCGTGCTGCTGGCTTCCTGGCCCTACTCGCCTACCGCGCGCCCAGCTGCACCCAGCACTTCCCCGCGTTCGCCCAAATGCGTCCAGCGCTATACCGCGCTCTTTGACCACCGCGCCCAATGCTCGCGCATCACCTCCTCGATGCACGCCCCATTCGCAACCATCCGCCGGCCCACAACAATCACCCGCGCGCGCTTGCCACCCATCCTCAACCCTTCGCGCGCAGTTCCTTTGAACCTCCACGCGCCATGCGCGCCTTTTCCTCGCACAAGCGTTGCACCAATCACTTAGCTTTCCCGGCACTACGCATTCGGCATCTGCCCACTTAGTCTCCTCGTATGCAACTGCCGTGCGTCTCTTCTTTGTGCACTTAGCTTTGCGCCTCTTGTTGCACGATCGTGCTCTCTTCCCACAACCTCTTGGCCAGTCTCTTCTGAAAGTAGGCCAATATTCTTCGACTTGTGGCTCTTCTGGCCCATTCTCGAGTCACTTCTCGAGATCCTCAAAAGACTGGTCCTCGGACTCACTAGGGTCGATGACCACTTCTGCATCATTCCCGTCCTCTTCGAGTACTTCCTTGTCCTCAAGGATAATGAAATTGAGCTCGTCGAATTCATCTTCCTCCTCAACTGGCGAATCTCCCTGGTCCTCAGTTTGCAGCTTGATTCTCTTCCTTGAACACCCAAACTCCATCGTACCTCTCTTCCTGTCACGCTTAACCACGTGTAGTAGAGTTTTCTCTCGCGGTTCGCTTTCCTCAAGATCATACTTCTCAAACTCAAGTAAAAATACTTCTTTACCTTTACATCTGTGGCCCGACGCAAACTTCTCATTGCATGTGAAGTATAGGCCTTTCTCTCTTCGCTGTTGGATTTCTTCCTCCGTCAATCGCCGCATGTTTCTCGTTGTGCGTGTCCCTTCACCGGTCGCTGGCTTGCTCTCGGCCCATGGGAGCGCCTCTTCGGCTGCGGCGTTCGTGCGCCTGGTGTCCGCGCGCGCGTCGCTCGGCTTTGCCTTGCGGACCGCCGCGATGTGATCCTCATGCAATCGATCCGACTCCATCGCCGCTCGTGTTGACCTCGGCCTATCTAATCTCACTTCCGCCGCCAATTCGGCTTTCAATCCTCCAACAAACGCGCCCACTAACGCACTTTCGGTCAATCTTGCACCCTACTAGCAATTCGCTCAAACACCTTTTGATAATCACGTAGGCTACCAACTTGGCGTATCCTTGGCAAAGCTTCATCATAATCAAAGTAATCACTAGAACCAAACCTCGTGATGAGCTCTCCTTCAAAATCTCTCCAACGCATATGCTCAACTTTGTTCTTGTGCAAAATCGACTGCCACCAAACATTCGCTTCTCCATCAAGATGATAGGCAACAATTTGAACTCGCTCATTCCTTGGCACATCGTTGATCTCAAAATATTGTGACGCCCGACTTAGCCACGCATCCGGATCGACTCCTGTGAATGTTGGCATAGTGATCTTCGGTCGGTTGTGCACGCGATCCACGTGATGTCGTCGGTCCTCGTTGTGTCGTCGCTCTTCACGCCAGTAGTGCAAGTCGTCGCGCGGTCGCGATGCGTGCATTGTACGCGTTTCCCGTGATCGACGATCGTCATCCTCGTGCTCGGTCCCGGGGCTGCTCGACGCCGTGGTGGACCGCTTCGCGTGGCTTGTTCATGTGTGATTTTACACCATATTCATCTAGTATCTAGAGCTTATTTATCGCATTATTGGTGTACAAATTGCATTATTGTCCTTTAATTTTATATCTTGTTGGAAAGGTATTTCACGTGCTTGTTTTGTAGATATTTCCACACTTTAGTAGAGTTTTTTGGCTATTGGAGGTGCGTGGTGAGTACCTAGGAACCCCGGGATGATGAAAGATTGATGCACGAATGAAAACAATGGAAGAAACAAGTGGAAAATAAAGTGCAGATTTGTGACACGGGCAATTACACAGGCACCATGCCCGTGTCAGAGGCCGTGTCACCTCAACAGAGACAATTCGAGGCCCAGATACCTGACACAACCCGTGACACAGGCCTGTCTGGTCGTGTCGCACACACGGGCCATTTTTAATCCCTTGTCTTTTTGGATAAGGAGAAGAGTTTTGGACATTATAAAAGGCATATTAACCCTATTCTGAAGGAGGAACGTAGAGAACACAAGGAGAAGGGCTTGGAACACAGAAGAGAAGCAACTGGGAAGAAGAGAAGATCAACCACAAGTTTTCTAGTTTTTATTTCTCTGTTTGAACTTATTTTCTCATGATGATTTCTAATATGTCTATGTATTTGAATTCAAACATGAGTAGCTAAATTTCTTTGATTCTAAGACATGGTAGTAAATTAATAGTTTGGGATTTTTGGATGATTTATCATAGTTGATTGTTTTCTTTTGAACCCTATTCAAATATTTTGTTCTTATTTCATGAATTGCAATTGGCCACTGCTTTTACATGTTTGATGATATTGTTCATAATTCGAGAGATGAGTTCAATATAAGATCTTTAATATTTGACACAATTTATTTGCTTGAATCGAGAGATTAGTAGATAGTTCTGAGGATTTTGGGTCTTTTAATCTTTTTGGAGTTGAATTGCATATGTTGAGTGAAGACGCTAATATATGTGATTTAATTTACGGTTTTATCGATCTCGAGAGGGACGATATGCTAAATTTGTGATCGTCTTAAAGGGTAGATAACGAAAAAATTTAGTTGTGATATTTTTGAAGGAATCCTAACTATTAATTGAACCAACGTCTTAGAAACTATCATTCCCATTTATTTTCTTACGTGTTTTTCTAGCTAGTGCTTTATTTTTGCTTTATTCTCTTTGCTTTATTCTCTTAATTTAGCTAATCTATCCGATTACGGTCGTCTAAATAAAGTTGACACTATTATAATCTTGTACTTGATATATTAATTATTTGGTCTCTTGAGATACGACCTTGCTTGCCACATACTACGAGCGAAGCCGTAAA